GAGTCAAAGGTGATGCTCACGGACATGAGAAGACGCGCGCGCCCTCCTGCACGGCAGCGGCGGCAGGAGGCAGGCCGGGTGGGTCGGTGGGTGGCGGGAGGCCGGGTGGCACGAGGTTGGGTGGCGGGAGGGTGGGTGGCCAGAGCGAGGAGCGGGGTGGAGGGAGGGAGGAGCGGGGTGGAAGGGAGGGAGGAGCGGGGTGGACGGAGGCGTCAGCAGGGCTGGGCGGGAGGCCCATCCGGTCTGACAAAAGCACCGCCTGCCCCGCCCCCAACAGCACCGGTGGCGATGATGCAGGCCCCCGTTGGAAGCGAAGCCCGCCCCGACCCTGCAGCACCTGTATCCACAGGTCCGACCCCACAGCACTGGTGGCTACGGTGCAGGCTCCGCTTCTGACAAAGGGGCCCCCACCCCCCACCCCCACCTGTATGCACAGGTCCACGCAGCGGCGCACGGAGGAGAAGGCGGAGGCGGAGCCGAAGGGAGCTTGGCTCTCGTTGAAGACGCGGCACACCAGCAGCGAGGCCTGCGGAGGCGGCACAGGGCAGCAGGCGCGCAGGGTCGGCATCGTGCACAGCTGCGCCAGGGCTCGGGCAAGATGCGGTGCGCGGCGGCGGCGCGCCAGGCCTGCAGGCCTCGAGGCCGCCGGACGGAGGGCGGCGCCGTGCCTGGCGCTTTGGCGGTGGCTTGCTCCGCACGAGTGTACAGCGGGCGGCCAAGGGCAGGCAGGCAGGCAGGCGGGAGGGCGGCCACGGGAAAGCCGCCGAGGCAGGCATCTAAGGGCAGGCAGCAAGGGCAGGCAGCCAAGGGGCACCTGGTAGGCCAGCCCCGCCACGCCCCGCCCGTTGTTGGTGGCGGCAGCCAGGACACCAGCCACAAGGGTGCCGTGCGCGCGCCTGCGGTCAATGTGATGGAGAGATGGTGGTGGTGGTGTGAGTGTGTGTGTGTGTGTGTGTGTGGTGGGGTGGGGTGAGGCGCGTGGCGAGGCGGCAGTGGGCAGGAGCCAGCAGCCCGCTCGCCGCAGCTCCCCGCCTCGCCACCGTCGCACAGCCTCCCTGCCCCCCTCCCGCTCTGCCCCCGCCTCTGCCTCTTTCCCAGCCTCCTCTGCCTCTTTCCCAGCCACCTTCCTCTGTGCCCCCCATCCTCTCTATCCCTCTCTGCCCCCCCTCTCTGCCCCCCTCCCGCTCTGCCCCCTCCTCTGCCTCTTTCCCCGCCTCCCAGCCGCACCTGTCGTCAAAGTCGTAAAAGGCGGCCTCCCCCTCCTGCGGGAAGCGGATGAGGCCGCCGGCATCGTCCACAATCGGCACCGTGTTCCACCCCTTCAGCGCTGCAGGCGAGCAGCGGGGCGGGGGGAGGCGGCGCTCAGGGCTGGGCGCAGGCGTGAGCTCAGCAGGAAGCGGCCGCGCTGGTGTGCCGTGCCGTGCCGTGCTGCGCTGTGCCGTGCTGTGCCGTGCTGTGATGTGCTGTGCTGTGCTGTGCGAACAGCAGGTCACACAGGTGTCTTCCCGGCACGCACGGCGCGGCGCAGCCCGCGGCGGCACCCCGTCGCGGCCTGCAGCACTGCGGCTGCGGCGGCTGCGCCTGCGGCAGCACAGCAGCCAAGCCCCACCCCCTGCTCACGCTGCGGCAGGTCTGGGTGCCTGGCGTTCATGCCTGTGTCCACAAGGCACACCTTGACCTGCATGCAGGCAGGCAGGGGGGCAGGGGAGGCAGGCAGGCAGAAGGAGGCAGGGCAGGTCAGAGCGGCTCAGCGCAGCGCAGGGCGCAGATAGAGCTTAGGGAAGCCTGTGGCAAGCGGTGGCTACCAGCGGCCAGGCGGGACGCCCGCGACAGCGAAGCTACCCCCCGCAGCCGCCGGCGGCTCGCACGCAAGCAGCAGCAAGCATGGCGGCAGCAGCAGGCAGGCCGTGGCAGCGGCAGGCCGGCGTGGCAGCAGCAGCAAGCATGGCAGCACCGTCGGCGGCGGCGGCGGCCCAGCGCGGCGACACCGCGGGACGCACCCCGCCGCCGCCCGCGCCGCCGCCGTCGCCGGCCAGT